GGGAGGGCAATTCAATGACGTGAACGACTTTGTTGATAAACTAGCGAAAATTTTAACGCTCACTTCAGTTTGACCTCACTTCTCTGAGATTCTAAAAGTTTGTTTCAACTCTTAACCGTGACATCAACTTCAACAAAATCTCAAGTCGTCTTTTCCCGAGTGGTGTCAAGATAGACTAAAGAAAAGTGAACATTATGTTGTAAACCATCAGCACCGTTGAGGGTGAATATAAATTTCAATCAGCTGTTTATTGGCGGAGTGTTACGGCAATGGGCAATTGGCGAAGTGCTTGTGTGCAATCTTAACGCCCGTGAAAATTTTTGGCTAAATTGATTTCGTAGTGTTTTCAAAATTCATTATTAGTTTAGTGTCGCACAGATGCGTTATTCGATTCTTCGATTGGCGAGTCAGTTTTTACGCAATAAAGAACACGTGTTTGCCGATAGAAGTGTATTCGTCAAGGATTTCTGGCGAGTATCTGGTGCGAGTGTGTTAACTCAAATCGTTGTTGCTGTCATTATCGAGTTAGTTTTATTTGCTGCTCTCTTATTTTTATGTTCAGCATTCCTGCGAAAACATCCGCCTTTGATGTTGCTGGTCGTGAAACTGTTTGAGTACCTCGCCAATCGAAGAATCGAAAAACAATCTGCGAAGAATCCAATAGACTTTATTTCAGACCTTTTCTGCTGTGTGTCAGACAACTGGGCCATCTCATCTAGATACTAGGCTTGTCATTGCATTGCAGTAAGTTAGTTGCATGAAAACATGTCGGCAGATATTTCGTTGTGAATTTTAGTGAATAAAGCAGAATTTTAGTGAATAAATGAGTCTCTTAAATGAGGTATTTTCAGGGAGTTCGCATTTCCCACTCCGGATATAGTATACGATTTGCGAATGTATTTATCGCCAGATTTTGCCGAATTTGCGAGATACGGTGAACGTGGTGAGAAGGATTATCGACTGGACAATTCATTGCGCTCGTTTCATATTTCTGAGGGACGTGTTCAACGGATACGAGAACGCGGCATATCTAAAGAGGGTGGATTCGATTAACGAAGATCTTATAGTCATCTTTACTTCTTCGTTCAAAAGAACAAAAATGAAAGTTTTTTGCTGCTTCTTAAAAATCGCTTGAAACACCTATCTGACGAGCTTTACAACGTGTACCGCATTCGAATTCATTTGCATCTATAGCAAAAATTTGAATGAATTTGTGAAGTTATTATTTTGTCGCATTGACGGGTCCAAGCAGTTTCTAGTGTGCTGTAATAATTATCTTATTCTTTTGTGATCCGTCTTCCTCACGTTTGAGAATTTTCATGTCGTTATTTCCGAATATTGAATAATATTGAAGATTGATTTAAAACATTTGTGTGTTATTTGTTGATTGAGTTACTCGAGAAACTTCTAATAAATATCAAATGCTAAATGATTTTATTATTTTACCCACAAAACGGTCATGACGGCCGTACTCAGTCAGCATTCTGATTGCTTACTTTTTCAGTGGTATTCTTTGGAAGATTTTGCTTTTACGAGATTTTATTTGTTAACATTCGTCATCTCATCAGAGAGGTGTCCTATGGGTGAACTTGACAGCAAAAACAGTTTTACCACAATTCATCCGTTTCTGTTCAGTGGTATATAATATTAACGATCGGTTAAAATGTTTATTTAAGAATTGATTTTAACTACGGAATTGTTGAAATTCGAGATTCTGTTGGTATTTCATGTTTAGTGGCATTGGACCCATCTCATTCCTGATATTTTTGTGCATATCTGAAAATAAGTTATGACATCTTCAGATTGTTGAGACCCGCAATATTCTGTTAGATCTTTGTTTGTGTTAAGTGAATAACTGGATCGACAATGTATCGAAACTCCAAGTAAGTACAGCCAGTNAATTAAAGAAATTATTTGTTGTCGATTAGAAATACTCTTTAATTAGGCATAAAAAACGGTTCCAGTCAGTGGCAGAAACTTTGTATTCAAAAAAATTTCGTTATGCATTTCAGGAATGGAACATCGAAAGCTTCAGTGTTACTGTGTTACGAATGCGGTGATATGTTCACATCGAAATTGTCTTATGAAGAACATATTCTAGTTCATCAAGCTGTTAGTCTATGCCAGCAAATTTATGAATTTGAAACAAAAGGATTCTCCTTTGAGGTTGGTTCGAGCTTTATTCGCGTTCACGCATCACAGTTAGTATTCTCAACTGGTGATAGAAATGAGAAACGATTGCGGTTAACAGAGCATTCATATGTCGGTCATCTCTCTTATGCCTAAACAGTGAAAATTGCTCGTTCGCGTTTCACGTTTGTGATCGAATATTATGGAAGATATTGGTCGCATATTGCAGTGTGTTTACGTATTCTAGTAAATTCACAAATTATTATTATTATTATTATTNATATATTCTGTCAAGAGGTCCGTGTTCAGTTCATTAAAAGTTATGAATAACTGTTGCTTTTGATGATGTGGAAATAGTAATAATAAAGCGAATGATAGATATAAAAAAATTAATATTTTACCTTATTTATGTTGAAGTATAATGCAACTTATCTACTGTTATGAGGCTGTGGTAGAGGTGCTCGAATGATTCAGCAGTAGTGATTCGTGTGAATCATAATTTATCCATATTAATGGTATTATTGTTCTGTTCGCAGGTTCCAAAAACTCTTCAAGTGAATATATCTGAGAAAGATGATTCGAAATCACGGAAAGAATCGACGTCAAGTGTTGAACGACGTCATTCAACAAATCGTTCATTGATTTCACCTTCGAGCAGTTCGAAAGCAGCAGTCTCGTTAAGACGAAATATTGTTGGCACAGCTGCCGCAACGTCCAGAAAGCGTTCAATTGAAGTGCCAAAAAAGCGAAGAATGAACGATCCGTCAACCAATTCACTGGTTTCCATATCGTCAAAGAAGCGAAACTCAAATAAGTTGAAATTGAAAATACCATCGAAGTTATCGCCATCTGGTGTTGATGAAACAAGTAAGCACCATGCTGCTACCAGTGGCACCTCATCCAGAACGACTCACTCCTCAACCACAACTACATCGTCATCTTCTTCCCCTAACCCGTTGAAACCTTCAACAAAATCTACAGGTATTGCTGTTGACTTACATTTCTCCATATTCTTCATTTCCTTTTCCCACATGGGCTTGTAACAGGACATAATGAAGGTAGCAAATAATTTTTTTAAAATTTCGCGGAATAATTTTGAATCGCAAAATAAAGTTGGCCTAAAATTCTGCTAATGAAAATGATATTAATCGCAAGCATGATTTTTTGACTTTATGATGTTTCATCCATTCAGTCGTCAATATTTTCGTCGAATTTTTATGCTACCTATGATTCTTTTTGACTTTGAAATGATTTCTTGTCAATATTTTTTTGAAATGAGAATTACGGATTAACTGATTGTGGGCTGAAGTTAATTTTTATGAACTGGATTTTAGCGAAGGAGGAAATGTTCAGCGACGGTCGCAGTGCTGAAAGACGGCATCACGAGTCATCGGAGAGCACCTCAACGATCGACTCTCCCAACGAACGACGATCACTCGAATCGGATTCAAACACAAAGCACTACGAAGCCAGCGAGCAGGATTCGGCGAAGTCATCTTCAGTGCAATCCGAAAGTGAACGCGGTCGCCTCTCTTCATCTGACAATACTTCGAAACAATCGTCGAAGTCGGCTTTAACTGCATATGAGAAATCTCAAGAAAGCGCTTCAAAGGGTCTGAAGCAAGCAATATCAAGTGCCGAACAACATTCGACCGATCCGAATGCAGACTCGTCATCAAACGTGAACGCATCGAAAAGCAATCAAATTGATGCAGTCAAGAAATTGGCCTCAGAAACAGCTCAGAATCGTGCTTCATCACCGATGGTATCCGGACAGAAATGTCTTCTCTGTGAGTATCGCTGCAGTCAAGGATGGGAGATGGTCGAACACAGTATGTTCTTTTCTGATAATGAGGAGAGCTTCTCAAAGTGGAACGTTTAAGCGATCATCGGAATTATAGCTCGCAAATTACATATTATGAATCAATCAAGCGAATTCAAACTTGGTCACTTGGTGTTTCGTGATTATTACTCGCTTTGAGATAATCCACGAATCTGTTGGCATAGTTTATTTGATTCAGTAACAACGTTTTTAAATTAGGGAGGTTTCTCAAACGATTTTAAAATTATGATTATTTCCTCCAAAAAATTACTCCTGTTGTTTGTCAAGAAGTTACCTAGATTAGAAGCAGCTTTGAATATGAAAAATCATTTGTGTTGAATATTTTCGTTGTTCTAAAGTGTTCCATGTTTTAGTTGTTCGTGTACATAAAGTATCAATTGCTATGGTTGAGAGGACGGCCTTCATTGATGGTCAGTGGACATCAAAAGAGCCGTTGAAATCCGCAGAGGTTTGTTGTGCTGAATTTTCATTTTGTATTGTTTCTTCTCTTTTTCTTAGCTGTCACTTTCAAACGTTTCTGGACGGACGCAGTCAGATGTGGTGTTTTTCGGTTACAGTTCAGCATAGTGTTCATGTTGTGCATCTCCTCATTGTTGTCTTTTCTGTTCGAAATTTTATGTTGGGGATAATTCTTTGTCCACTCGTAGATGAATGGAATTAATTGAGAATATCATCAAAGATTTATCAACCCTGCAAAATACGTATTCGACTACGGTTGGTTTTTACTTATAGTTAGCAATTAGGGATAATGTGCAATAACAAGCAACAATTTGTATGAATGTAGTGAATTAAATCATACTGATTATGGTCGTTATAGGAATGTGATTATTGCAATCGGACGTTCTCGGAATCGACCGACTGTTATTTACATATAATCGTGTGTCATCGCACTTCTCTGTTCACACCGAATGCAAAACGTTTGAATTGTGTGGTACATATGGCGCATCCGAATCTGCCAGTTCAGCGCATTAATATCACAATGAGAAGGCCATAATTGATCGTATTGTGTCGTTATAAATCACTTATTATCAACACTTTTTGGCATCGCATAATGATTTATAAAGATATGATTGCGAACGGAAATTAGGATCAAGATTACCGGTTATTCTTATACCTCATCATTTTAAGTTACAGGTTGAATGAACTTTTGTGGAACGTTTCTTAACAGATTTTGGTTTTTAATTTGAAAATTTTGTTGTTCATTTGATTATTGAAAAATTTACAATCTGTTGATTTATTTTCTATTGTTTTACTGTTGTGAAGAAAAAGAAAATAAAATTTGTCAGTGTTTTGATTCTTATTGGAAAATTATGGGTTATTATTCGAGTCGTTTGAATGTTCTCTTTATTCGGTTGTTGCTTGAGAAACAGTTGGCCCAAAGTCGGATACAAAAGAGAATGCTGAGTTTTCGAACAGACGGCGACTCCTTGGTTTTTTTTTTGACATCATAGCTTGTATAAAAAGTCTGAGCTTTCCTTCATTTTACTTCGTAATTGTTCCAGACTTGGAACCGTCACTCAAGAGTGATTCTCAGAGCATGAGTGACTGGGTGGAATGTGAGCAGTCACAATAATAGTAGAATGACATGATGTCTGGTGTTGTGTTTCCGTTCAGTTATTTCAAATTAATGCACTCTTATGATGCGTGAACAAATTATTGAGAGAATCAGTTTTGTGCCAATATTCTCGTTGCTCAAATTTCATATTGCTCATTCAGTTTCTCACCGATTTTCTATTCGTTCGTTTCGCCGATGTTAGTTTTAAATGAAAGAGAACAAGTTACGTCAGGCAATTCAATGCGCATCCGTGAAGGCTTTTGTTCTGCATTGCTGAGAACAACGAGAGACAGTTTGTGCATCGATTGAGATGTCAAAAATTTGAGTGTGAAAATGTTAAAAGTGGTATCCGAAGGTTTACGGAAAGATGATGAAAAGTTTACAGAGAAGGAGGGGGGGGGGATGGAAGTTGGTGGGGTTATGGAGTACGTTCGTCCCGCTTGTAGTAACCATTCTTATGCGTGAAAGGTTTCAAGGTTTACACTTCGATTGCTGGCAACGAGCGTTGTCCGCAATTGAACCTTAAAAAACAATATCGGTAACAGGGGCTGTGTAAATTGCTATCATGAACAGTGATTCAATTCGATGTAATGGTATCAATTGGTAAAATGGACGATTTGTTAACGAATCTGTTAACGACTTGTTAAATCCTCATCAAGGAGACATCAGAGTCGTTTGAATATTCATTGGGTTTGCTGAATATTTGGAAACTTTTAAAGAAAACTTCAACCTCTTGACTCTGTTGATTGATGGTTTAGGAAAATTCATCGCCTCCAACATTGGCTCGCTTCTTGGGCATAACATTCCAGTGCGATCTATTTTGCTCTTCAACAAGCGATTCATTGTTACGGTTGAAAAGGTGTTACGAAAGTGTGTATACACCCATCTGGCATTAAAAAATGCTTGTTCCAACTATTATGATAGATGCCCACAATTCAGCAAAAAATTTATTGCTTTGCAAAGCATAACAGTGGAGGGGTGAAGTTTGACAGTGAACGGTAGCGAGACAAAATAGAAAAGTGAAATTTCTAGAAAAAAATTAGGAATGAAAAGGTCAGCGAATGTCGTTCTCATCGTTGTACTGAAGAGGATTTCGGAGTTCAATTAGGTCAACGTTTTACTTCGATTCAATTCAAGAATATTTGTCAAGTCGTTAAATCTTGCCGTTTTATTTACGATAATTACGCGAAACTATTTTCGTTTATGTGAGAGCACATCTCAGTAAACCATCAAGATACGCATGACTCGAAGTTATTTGCTCTTTCACTAACGCAACCGTTGTCAACACTTCATTTTTCTATCTATCACGACTCACGATATCCACTTCTGATCAGTTGTTTCAAAATTATCGTTAAAATGGGTGTGTTGAATAAGTGTCAGTTGACGAAGACTTGCTGAGTGTTTATGATTGATTTGAGAACTACAAATGAGAACGATCTTGATGAGTAACACCCAGTCGAGTATGATTCACGAAACACTTCCACTGAACTAAGGGCAACAACAAACACCGAGTGAAAGGTGCAGTAAGCGTTTAAGGTGTGCGTGGGGTGTCACTGAACTTCGTGCAGCCAGTATAGGTACGAGTGATATATTCTGTTTACATATGCTGGAGTGAACATGAAATAAGTGATAAACATGAGATTGCTAATTGTAAGTATGTATTTTGATATCAATGAAAATGAACAATTAAAGTGAATTTCNTGGAATTCGATCTGGAAAAGGTCATTATCTTCTTAAGTCGTGCATTTTTGCCTTAATGCAGTCGAAAAACAATTGAAGTTGTGAATGCGTTCAAACTCGAAATTACACATTATTGAATGGAATTGCTGTTACCAGAAAACATGCCTATATGTCAGTGAAGCTCATCGAAACAGAACTGAGAATTCGAAAATAAGTAAGGCTGGACTACCATGCTAAGTGATATTCTTGAGGGTTTTGATTTGAGATAAGGTGATAGTGAGGGGTAAAGGTGTATTGAGAGATAATATACGAAGAATAGTGATGAATTAATTAGTTGATTCGTAATTGGTGTTGTGATGAAATTGGTTAAGATGATAAAAAGGGATGTGTGATATATGGATGGTGTGCATTGCGATTTCACTTGATGATCCATCCATCTTTCGAATAACTCCATTGCACTGCAAAACGCACTAGACGTCCAAATCGGTGTTATAACGAATCAAATCGGTTGCCGTTAACATTGAGGCCATGCCGTCCCATTCGTTGCATCATTCATCCATCCAGCACTGAACTGTCACCATCATGACCACCGTCAATGTGTGATCTCATCTACATTCAATCATTGCCTTCACTGCACTTGCACGCGACGACGACAGTGCTATGCGATCATGATTATGATGAACATATCTTCTGGAAATATTCTTCTCGTATTCTTTATTCCATTCGTCTTCTTTTACGGATGTGCTTCTACTCAGGCTACAACTCATTGTCCGGCAAATACATTCACCTGTAAAGATGGTTCATGTATTCCGTTCGACTGGGTTGGTGATGGCGAGATCGACTGTGAGGACGCTTCTGATGAATCGACTGCTTCCGAATCGATTCGAATGCACTTAAGTGCCACTAATAACAGTACTACTCCTGAGACTAATCTCTTACCATCGAGACAGATGGAGGAGATCGCTGATGATCCTTTCGATAGCAATGCTGCGCTCTCACCTCAATCCGTAACAGCTCCACAGCAAGTTCTACCGAGCCTCGAGAATGCGAATAGTACAGCGTTAAGGCGATGTCCGAATGACATTCAGCAACGTGTTGATCAATGTTCTAATGATTTGATCAATTGGGAGAGTAATATTGACAAAATTGATTTTACACAAGTTTCTTTATTGAACGATAAGGAAAGGTGAGTGCATTTCGAACATTTTACATTTTATTTCCTTTATCGTATCGATTCTGCAAATGGATCGAACTTTTTTTTTCATTTCATCCTATACTGCGCTTCAAATGAAAGCTTTTCGAAACCTTTTATTGTTATCACTCTCGATAATATTATTCTCATATTCGATAGCTCATGACTCATCTCACTTTGGAAAATGTTCCAATGAAATTTCCAGAATCTATCATCTTTCTAACAACGCCACCTTCAGTCAGAAAACCATGCTCTCTAGATATTCACGAGCAGTTAAAGCTTAAGATCACAGCTGTCATTTGAAGAACATTTGCTGTCATCTTTCTTAGGCATATGCAAACCACTTACAATTCAAACCTATTTAGCCAAAACTGCGTTCTCATAATACACCCTAGAATAATGCATAATTCATAACAATTGTTGCTGCTAACTGTACACATCATTTAGTTTGCACGAAAATCTTTTCATAGCACTGCATACTACACTGTTGTTAAATAATGTATTCTGCAAAACTTGATACCACCATGCTGATAATAAAATGCATAAACTGAAAGATATATTTTACCGTAATTTCAGTTTGAAATATTATAATCACCTCATTATGTGAAGCATCATATTAACATTATCAAAGTGAAATATATTTGCATAATGCGCACGAATATCATCTATAGTCATAATCCGATTATGTATCGAATCAGTGAATTGACCCGGTGTCCTAAATAAATTCTCGAATCCATGAAACTTGCTCGTAAATGCTGAAACTTGCTTCAATTGATTTTTTGTTTTGTCTTTGAACCTATTGATTTCTGAGGAAATATAAAGAAAAAAATTTCTGTTTTTTGGATCGCGCTGAGCTCCATTATCGGAGCAGTGAGCCTACTTATGTTGAGTTTTGAGGTGATCATACAATAAAGCGATTCAGTAAAAACGCGGGTGGAAGAATGTAATGTGAGTAGTTCACCTAAGGATACCTGAAAGTTATGAAAATCGTGTCCGTTGAATTTTTTGCCGCATTGCCAATATCCTGCTTTTGACACAAATTTTATCCGTTCACAGTGCTGAACAATTCGTCTTGTTTGCATAACTGAATATACGTGAATCATTGAGAGGCGCTGCATTATGAAATTCGTTTCACTATTTGAATAAGTTTCAATAAGTGCCATCAATGAGGTACTAACGATCAAAACTGGTTCAGTGATTTAATTTGACACGAAGAGGACACAACGAACTCGAGATAGAAAATTGTTCGTCATGCAACAAAATTTATCCTGATAGGTAATGAGCAGTCAGTAGAATATTAAGAAAAGGCAACGAACCCATTAACGACCTCTCGAAAAAACTCTAATCAATTTTCCAAATTTGCTGTTCGATAAACATTAAATAGACGAACCAGTTTTTTTTAGTAGACGAAGTTTGTTCTCGTCAAATTTACTATAATGGAATATAGCATGACTTTTTGTTTCATTACAGAACAAAATAATTTGAACTTATGAGTATTTTCATTAAGTCCCCATAGGTGTTAAACTGAAAAGTTATCCGTTAATATTTCAGCATAATACGGACTGAAAAACTGGAACAGTCGCTGATGTTCAATGAAGATAGAATAAAAATGACGAATTTCAGTTTGATAGAACTAAATCAAGGATGTGATCTGATCACGGAATATCGTACATGCGTGGAACGTATAGAAACCGACGAGTGTCGCATACCTGAAGTGATAGCGATGTGGGGTGATATGGATTTATACGCATGTCAGTTGTTATTACCGTCACTTCACGAACACGAGAAATGCTTTAGCAGTGCGCGAGACTCTCGCTGTGGACCAATGTAAGTGTTTCCGCCCTTGTTGACTTATTCTTATGCTTCTTGCTGTCACCTTCTCATATGACGCACTCTTCGGTGGAATAATCGCACACAAAACTATGACAAATTTGAAAATTATCACCCATCATGAAAACAATATACAATCTGTGCAAAACTTGCAAAATCATTCTATCGATTCATGCAGATGAGGAATTAGTCAGCGATAATGAATGCGTGATTAAAACGCGGTTGTGATCGTCATTGCTATTTTACGATCCGCTATAATCTACATTTTTACTTGTTTTAATCCAAAAATTTTGTACGTTTCATTTGTTTTGCAACAGTTTTCGATATTTTGGCGCCGCATGAAATATATTATACCATCTCTCAGTGTCAATTTAAATAATCATATGAAACAGCCAACATGATGGATTGCATATCCAATAGTATTTTGTATGCGTTTGTAAAATATTTCACAGAAACAGCTCGAATATTGGTTAGACGAACTTATAAGTGAGTGATTGTGGATTATGTGGTGATAATCAAAATGAAATAGGGCGATGGATTGATTATGTTTGGACTTAGGATTAGACTGATGTTCATGCAGGGAAACCATCTGTTTCTTCCATAGATACCTGACTTGGATGCTTCACAGATACCTGACTTCGAGAGATAACTGACAGAACCACCTATTTGTCTAATAGATACCTGAATCCCGATATGGGCCTGAACCCAAGCCCGACTCGATTCATCGCCATATTTCACTCTGATTATCGCCACTTTTGTGGGTTGCTGAGTTCACGAAATATGTAAGTTTACATAAACTTTCAAGGACAGGAAATAAGATTCTGAAGCATGATATGTTTTAGAAGTGATTGCGAAATGACAATCTTTTTGCAACTGTAATACATGAGAGTTTCCGTTTGAATTGCATTATTATTGGTTTCAACGCTTAGCGATTGCGATTTAGGTGATTAAGATTACGTAGATAACTTTAATATAATTGTTTATTTTTGGACAGACGAATTCGTTAAGAATAAATTATTTATGTGATATAAAGTTCTTTATGTGTTGGTTACGTATCACACGTTATTAGTTCAAGGACGAATCTGCACCTAAATACCAAACAAATAAAGTGAATATAATCGGTCTGTTCTGCAATACGTCGTAATTGCACATGTTCCTTTTATTCAATTACTATTGTTTCACATTAGTATTGTTGTTGTTATCTGTTGCTCACAAATAGGATTATCTCAACACTAGGGGGGACTTTTGGAACGTAAGTATTTACTGAGTGCTTTGAGAAATGAAAAGGATTCAGTGAAATGTTACTGATGCTTAACTCATCTGTCATCAATGCTCATCACGTCCTTAAAAAATACCTTTTCTGAGTCGATTTTAAGATCCTTAAGATTTTGTTAGAATCTGATTTCTTAAAGCTGGATCTTCGCAATGAGAAAGAATCACTGATGAATTAGTGATAATGTCAAAAATCATAAAATTTGCAATTTTAAACTGACAAATGAAATGTGGAATACACTTCACCAAAAAGCATATTCATAGTTGGAAGCGATTATTCCACAACGCAGTTTTCTTAAGTAGTTTTCAAACTAATTGATTCACTATCAGGTCGTTCACATAAATTCCGTAAGTTTAAGCGACGGTTGACGAAGTATTAGACGGCTAAATAAATGAGAGCAAAAGTTCACTTGCCAAAATTTTTTTCGCTTAATTTTTCTTAATAAACTGACTCACAAGGATCATTCTCGCATTATTAACACCAACTATGCTTTTGACAAATGTTCAAAAACTGACGTTGAGTGTGCAATTTAGCAATTTTTTGTCAGCGGCTAATCTACCGAGCGTTCCTTTCATTATGCTTTCATTGTTACTTCATCGCACCCTTGCCGACACTATCACTCAACTAGCGGTTCGGCTTGATAGCTTCAATGAAATAATTCCGATCGCGTCTGATCATTCAACGGTTTGATGATCAGACACATTCGAAATTATTTTCATTGATAGTTCCATAAGAGCATTTGATAGCAGACAAATGAATCATTACGAAAAAGTTGAAATTATTCGAACAATCAATCAACCAACCGGTTGCAAAAGTTCACAATTATTTTTGAGATTTGCTTTTTTTCTGAACTGAACAATTCATTTCGTTAACCAGTTATTGGTGAATGCGTTTATGGCGTTTTTTTTTTCAGCTAAAATTTCGAAATCCTTCGAGATAATAGCAGTGTTGAAGAGATGAGAAAAGATTTCTCCAACTTCTCCAACTCAAAAGATTCATGAAATAAGAAAATGATACATAAATGTCTTATTTGCTGCTCTTCAGTGGCGATTTCATTCGAAAATAGTATACAGTCGAACGTCCGATGCGATTTTGATTTTGCTTCTTTGATTGTGCAGAGCAGTGATCCGAATCGAAAATGGTGCATTAGAAAGACATTCGAGCAGATATGAGATAGACATTATCTCATTGAAATGATGTGTTGTTGAACATCACCTAAATTCCCTCAATCTCATCATCAATCGTGTTTTACCCAAAATGAATGCATGCACCAGTGTGATAAGTGCTCTTCATAACTTCATTTAAAGGAGATAAAACAGAACACGAAATGAAACGGATCACTCGTTTGTTTGAATAACCGAACGTGGAGTGTGTAAACATTGGACAGTTATTTGGTTTGAGCGAATGTTTTTATTTCATCGAAAAAAAAAGTTTTTACTTCATTCTCAAAAGTTCGCATCTTATACATTTTTTGAGAAGTCTCTCATTTTTGCCAAAAGCAGATCCTTGGTCTTTAAGGAAGACTACAAAACCGTTTCGAAGAAATACATGCCAAACATGATTTCGTATTTTTAACAATCATTGATTTCTCTTTGTTGAGTTAATGTAAAAATTAAGGAATCTCAGAATTTTGAAAATCCGATGATGAATTTTCACCTCAACAATTGAATATGTACCCTCCAAATGTTTAGTCATTGCTGCATTCACAATAAACGATTTTTTGCAAAACACTATTATCGGCATTGAACTCAACTGAAGTTCATCAGTGGTTTAGAAATTTTATTTTTCGAATAATTACCCATTTGTTCGAAATCATTAATTCTCTT